TTACGAATCAGTGAGTAAGTTATGATGCTCCATTAACACGTGGCCAACAAGCTTTGTGTCCATTTCCCCAGTGTCTAAAATGAAGATCTCTAAATCCATCCTATTTGTGATGCATTTCACAATATGTTACAAATATCAGAAAACCTTACCCCTAAACAGTTCAGCCTTCGTATCATCAACTAGACTCAATATCCATGTAGTTTGGCTTTTTTTGTGTTCTTTTTAATTATGCACAGTGAAATGTTTTGACACAAGTCTTGACAAACGCCTACGATGCCTCGGCTAGCCAAGATCATGATGTTGTACAATTTTCTATCTGCCAGTGAGGTAAAGTCTGCTTTGTTAGAGGCTGCAGCTGAGATGGCAAGAGAAAATCACATCAGACTCAACATCAGTGATAAGTGGATACTTGATTTCGCTCGAACCAAAGATGCATTGCAGGGATAGAATACACCAAAAAATGCCACTTGCCAAAGCATCAAAAATGGTTCCATGTACCAGCTGGGAAGGGTAGGTGAGAGGCATGAAGAACTCACAGGATTGAAATCCAAACAGAATTCGTAGAGACCGTAAGCTCTGAAAAGGGTCTGAATTAAATAGTCTAGGTACTCAACTGGCTATCTATCTCTATGATCACCTTTTTTTCCCTCTTAGCACCTCCAGCCCCTCAACCATGAGTTACTTCATGTGCCTCTGACTCTTACTATAGATGGTGTGCAAAGGTGTGGTTAAGAAGCCATGGATGGAGCACCTGGGTGGCTCAGACGGTCAAGTGTCCAGCTTTGGCTCAGGTCATGATCTCACGATTCATGACTTCGGGCCCTGTGTCGGACTCTGTGCTGATAGCTTAGAGCCTGGAGCCTCCTTCTGATTCTGTGTCTCCCTTTCTCTCTCTGCTCCTCCCCCAGTTACACTCTGTCTCTCTCTGTCTCTCTCTCAAAAACAAATTCTAAAAAAGAAGAAGTCATGGAAAATACCCATGGGATAATTGGCTTAAGATATTACAACCGAGGGGCGCCTGGGTGGCTCAGTCGGTTAAGCGTCCGACTTCGGCTCAGGTCATGATCTCACGGTTTGTGGGTTTGAGCCCCGTGTCGGGCTCTGTGCTGACAGCTAGCTCACAGCCTGGAGCCTGCTTCAGATTCTGTGTCTCCCTCTCTATCTCTCCCTCCCCTGCTCACGCTCTCTCTCTCTTAGAAATAAACACTTAAAAAATTAAAAAAAAAAAAAGATATTACCTAATCCATTGGGTCACACGAGGAAAAAAATCTGTTAACAGAAGAAATGTAGTGTCTGGAAAGAAGACCCAGGGTCAAGAATGTGAGTATGGGTCTCCAGCCGCATCCAGGGCAGAGTGTGCTAACTCCAGCCAAGGCAAAAATTCCAGTTGGATTTGCAGGCCTGGATCTAACCACCCTGAGTAATGTCAGCCACTAAGCCATCATCCCACTAATTCCTCTCGCTATGTTGCTCTGCCCATTAAGGAGGCTTCTGAAGATATTTGTTTCTCAAGCCCACAAGAGAGAAAATGCAATAACCATCTGCCCCAAGCGTCTGATCTGCTTGGCAGTTCCAGGCCTCATGCTCCTGGTTTGTTAGTAATCTCCCATGAAGTGGGCTAGCAGGATCTGGGCACACATGAGGCCCTTAGATGTCTTAATCTCTGGATTTGCAGTTCTGAGAACCAAACTCTGAGCCCTGGTACTATTATGCCATTTGGAAATCTTGCACAAGTGGCCAGCTGAATTTCATGAGCTCACATTGCTGTCTTGGCTCTCTCCTGCTTTATGTGCCAAAGACAACAGGAAAACCAGTAAGTGACATATGTAATCTATCTAAGGGAATTAAAAGGTGGATTGTAATCGCCCTCCTTCTTTCCCACTCTCCATACCTGGTCTCCCTTTCTTTTAGTTTTAATTTTTATTGAAATCCAAGTTAGTTAACATACAGTGTAATAATGGTCTCCGGAATAGAATTTAGTGATTCATCACTTACATATAACACTCAGTGCTCATCCCAACAAGTGCCCTCCTTATTGCCCATCACCCATTTAGCTCATTCCCCCACCCAACACCGCTCCAGCAACCTTCAGTTTGTTTTCTGTATTTAAGATTTTCTTATGGTTTGCCTCCCAGTTTTTACCTTATTTTTCCTTCCCTTCCCCTATGTCCATCTGTTTTGTTACTTAAATTCCACATATCAGTGAAATCACATGTTTGTCTTTCTCTGATGGACTTATATGCTTAGCATAATACATTCTAGTTTCATCCACACTGTTGCAAATGGCAAGATTTCATTCTTTTTGATTGCTGAGTACTATTCCATTGTGTATATACACCACATCTTCTTTATCCATTCATCAGATTTGGACTCTTTCCATAATTTGGCTGTTGTTGATAGTGCTGCTATAAACATTGGGGTGCATGTGCCCCTTTGAGTCAGCATTTTTATATCCTTTGGGCAAAAACCTAGTAGTGCAATTGCTGTGTCAGAGTAGTTCTATTTTTAATATTTTGAGGAACCTTCATACTTTTGTCCAGAGTGGCTGCACCAGTTTGCATTCCTACCGGCTGCGCAACAGGGTTTCCCTTTCTCCACATCCTTGCCAACATCTCTTGTTTCCTGAATTGTTAATTTTAGTCATTCTGACAGATGTGCGGTGGTGTCTCACTGTGGTTTTGATTTGTATTCCCCTGATGATGAGTGATGTTGAGATCTTTTCATGTATCTGTTAGCTATCTGGATGCCTTCTTTGGAAAAGTGTCTATTTATATCTTTTGCCCATTTCTTCACTGGATTATTTGCTTTATGGGTGTGAGTTTGGTAAGTTCTTTATAGATTTTGGATGATAACCCTTTACCCAATATGTCATTTGTAAGTATCTTCTCCCATTCCGTTGGTTCCCTTTTAGTTTTGCTGATTGTTTCCTTTGCTGTGCAGAAGCTTCGTATCTTAATGAGGTCCCAATAGTTCATTTTTGCTTTTGTTTCCCTTGCTTCCAGAGACATGTCAAGTAAGACATTACTACAGCCAAGGTCAAAGAAGTTGTTGCCTGTTTTCTCCTCTAGGATTTTGATGGTTTCCTGTCTTACATTTAGGTCTTTCATCCATTTTGAGTTTATTTTTGGTATGGTGTAAGAAAGTGGTTCAGGTTCATTCTGCATGTCGCTGTCCAGTTTTCCCAACACCATTTGTTGAAGAGACTTTTTTTTTTCCATTGGATATTCTTTCCTGCTTTGTTGAAGATTAGTTAGCCAGACATTTGTGGGTCATTTCTGGGTTCTCTATTCTGTTCCACTGATCTATCTGTGTGTGTTCATGACAGTACCACAGTACGACAGTCTTGGTGATTACAGTTTTGTAATACAGCTTAAAGTCCGGGATTGTGATGCCTCCACCTTTGGTTTTCCTTTTCAACATTACTTTGGCTATTCCGGGTCCTTTCTGGTTCCATACAAATTTTAGAATTGTTTGTTCTAGCTCTGTGAAGAATGCTGGTGTTATTTTGATAGGGATTGCATTGTATGTATAAATTGTTTTGGGTAGTATAGACCTTTTAAAAATGTTTGTTCTTCCAATCCATGGGTATGGGATGTTTTTCCATTTCTTTGTGTCTTCTTCAATTTCTTTCATAAGCTTTCTGTAGTTTTCAGCATATAGATATTTTACCTCTTTGATTAGGTTTATTCCTAGGTATTTTATGGGTTTTGGTGCAATTGTAAATGGTATCAATTCCTTGATTTCTTTCTCTGTTGCTTCATTATTGGTGTATAGAAATGTGACTGATTTCTGAACATTTCTTTTACATCGTGCGACTTTGCTGAATTCATGTGTCAGTCCTACAGTTTTTTGGTGGAGTCTTTCAGGTTTTCCACATAGAGTACCATGCCATCTGCAAAGAGTGAAAGTTTGACTTCTTTCTTGCTGGTTTGGATTCCTTTTATTTCTTTTTCTTATCTGATTATTGAGGCTGGGACTTCCAGTACTAGGTTGAACAAAAGTGGTAAAAGTGGACATCCTTGTCATGTTCCTGACCATAGGGAGAAAGCTCTCCATTTTTTTTGCATTGAGGATGATAAAAGCTGTGGGTCTTTCATATATGGCTTTTATGATCCTGAGGTATGTTCCTTCTATCCCTATTTTCTTGAGGGCTTTTATCAAGAAAGGTTACTGTATTTTGTCAAATGCTTCTTCTGCATCTATTAAGAGGGTCGTGTGGTTCTTATCCTTTCTTTTATTAATGTGATGCATCATGTGCATGATTCATGGATGATTCGTGGGTACTGAACCACCGCTGCAGCCCAGGAATAAGTCCCACTTGATCCCAGTGAATAATTCTTCTAATGTATTGTTGGATTCGATTTGCTTGATTCAATTCTCTTGTTGAGAATTCTTGCATCCATGTTCATCAGGGAAATCATACCTGTTCCCTTTGATCCGTTTACTCTTTCCTGTCCCACCCCAGCCACATGTGCCTCCAGCAGCCCAGTTCCAGAAGTTGGTCCCACACAGTTTCCCCCAGAGGCCTCTCAATTGCTGGAGGCACATGTGGCTGGGGTGGGCCAGGAAAGCCTTTTGGGTCCCCATCTGCTAAAGGACTCTCACTCTTTCCCAGCAAACCTTGCCCAAGGCAAATAAAACTCCCCCCCCCCAAAAAAAGATTATGAGAACTTCAAATACGAAGAAAAGTTAAAAGAACTGTACAGTAAGCACTCATATACTCACCACTTAGATTCTACAATTAACATTTGTCTGTATTTGCCCTATTCCCTTATCACACATCTATTCCATCCATCAATGAATCCATTCTGTTTTTGGCGCAATTCAGAGTAAGTTGCAGATAGCAGGACACTCCACTCCTCAACACTCTGGCGTGCGTCTCATCAACTACACTCTATGAAGCTTAGGTTTTTTAAAAAGTACTTTCCACCCTTTACTCTTGTTATCAAAATTAGTTCAACTTTTCTTGCATGCTTAGTGTTTTTTAAATCATATACTGTATGCTCACGTCAGTAGCATATGTACTACAACTAAAACAGAACAGAGACTAGCATGGCCTTTGCACAAGGATTACATGCAAATTTGTGAAGTGTTCCATAGATTTTTTAAGAAATTACATACTGGGGTACCTGGGTGGCTCAGTCAGTTAAGTGTCTTACTTCAGCGCTGGTCATGATCTCACAGTTTGTAAGTGCAACCCCCCACATCGAGCTCTGTGCTGACAGCTCAGAGCCTGGAGCCTGCTTCAGATTGTGTGTGTGTGTGTGTGTGTGTGTGTGTGTGTGTGTGTGTCTGCCCCTCCCCTGCTCTGTCTCTCTCTTTTAAAAATAAATAAACATTACCAAAAAATATTTTTAATTACATACTGTAGTAACCCTTTATATCCATTAGGATAGCTACTATCAGAAAAAAAAAGCATTGACAAGGGTATGGCGACCCTGGTACACTGTTGGTAGCAATGTAAGATGGTATAGCCACTACAGAAAACAGTGTAGCGGCTCCTCAAAAATTAGAAATAGAGGGGGCGTCAGCGTGGCTCAGTCAGTTAAGCATCCAAATTTAGCTCAGGTCATGATCTCACAGTTCACCAATTCAAGCCCCACATTGGGCTCTGTGCTGACAGCTCAGACCTGGAGGCTGCTTCCAATTCTGTGTCTCCCTCTCTCTCTCTCTGTCCCCCCTCCACCCCGCCCTTGCATTCTGTCTCCTCTCTCTCTCTCTCAAAAATAAAAACATATTAGAAATAGAAATGTCGGGGCGCCTGGGTGGCTTAGTTGGTTAAGCGTCCGACTTTCGCTTAGGTCATGATCTCGTGGTTCGTGGGTTCGAGCCCCGCGTCGGGCTCTGTGCTGACTGCCAGCTCAGAGCCTGGAGCCTGTTTCAGAGTCTGTGTCTCCCTCTCTCTCTGACCCTCCCCTATTCACGCTGTCTCTCTCTCTCTCTCTCTCCTAGAAATAAATAAAAAAGAAAAAAAAAAGAAATAGAAATGTCATAGGATCCAGTAATTCCACTTCTAGGTATATACTTAAAAGAAAGGAAACAGGGTCAGAAAGAGATATTTGTACAGCCACGTTCACAGCAGTATTATTCACAATAACTAAAACAGGGAAGTGATCCAAGTGTCCAGTTGACAAAGAAAATGTATACGTATGCAGTGGAATATTATTCAGCCTTAAAAAGTAAGGAAATTCTGACATATGGCTCTGCTCAGGTCATGATCTCACAGTTTGTGGGTTCGGGCCCCGTATCGGGTTCTGTGCTGATAGCTAGCTCAGAGCCTGGAGCCTATCTTTGGATTCTATATCTCCCTCTCTTTCTGTCCCTTTCCTGCTCACGCTGTCTCTCTCTCTCTCTCAAAATAAAACATTTTTTAAAAAATGTTTAATTCAGTGGCATGTAGTGCATTCACAGTATTGTGCAATCACCATTTCTATCAGGTTCATTTATTTTCTTTGATGTTTATTTATTTATTTTTAAGGGAGAGAGAGAGAACGAGCATCCAGTGGAGGGGTAGACAGAGACAGAGACAGAGAATCCGAAGCAGGCTCCAGGTTCCAAGTTGTCAGCTCAGAGCCCGACATGGGGCTCAAACCCATAAACTGTGAGGCTGTGATCTGAGCTGAAGTCAGCCGCTCAACCAACTGAGCCACCCAGGGGCCCCCATGTCTCCCCAGTCCTAAAACATTCCCATCTTAGGGCACCTGGGTGGCTCAATCGGTTGAACATCTGACTTCGGCTCGGGTCATTATCTCAGGGTTCCTTAGTCTGAGCTGCGCATCAGGCTCTCTGCTGACAGCACAGAACCCACTTAGGATCCTCTATCTCCCTCTCTGCCCCTCTTTCACTTGCACACATGCACGTTTTCTTTCTCTCTCAAAAAACATTTTTAAAAAAGTAAAAAATAAAACATTTCCATCGTCCCAAAATAAAACTCCATACCCATGAAGCAGTAACTCCCTATCTCCCCTTCCTCTGCGCCTGGTTGCCTCCAATCTACACTGTCTCTATGGATTTGCCTACTGTGAACATTGCATAAAAACAGAATCATACAATATGTGGCCTTTCGTGCTTGGTGTCTTTCAATTTGCATAATGTTTTCCAGGATAATCCACATGGTAGCAATGTATCAGTACTTCACCTTCTTTTAAGGCGGTCATATTCCATTGTTTAGAGGTCCTACACTTTGTCTATCCATTTTTGTGTTGATAAACATTCTCACTGTTTTCACCTTTTGGCTCTTGTGAATAGTGCTGCTCATCGCGTTGTTCTTGAGTATTTGCTCTACAACAGCAATTACAAGCATTTTAGTTTCAGGATCCCCTTATACCCCTAAAAAATATAGGATATCCCCAAAGAGTTTTTATGGGGGAGATACATAAGTATGCAGATTGATGACATTAAACTGAATTTTTTTAATATTTAAATATTGTTATGTTAACATAAACATGTTTTTATGAAAAATATATTTCAGGGGTGCCTGCATAGTTCAGTCGACTAAGTGTCCGACTTCAGTTCAGGTCATGATCTCAAGGTTCCTGAGTTTGAGCTGCATGTCGGGCTCTGTGCTAACAGCTCAGAACCTGGAGCCTGTTTCAGATTCTGTGTCTTCCTTTCTCTGCCCCTCCCCCACTCACATTCTGTCTCTGTCTCTCTGTCCTTCTCAAAAATAAATGAACATTAAAAATTTTTTGAAAAACAGGGGCGCCTGGGTGGCTTAGTCGGTTAAGCGTCCGACTTTCGCTTAGGTCATGATCTCGCGGTTCGTGGGTTCAAGCCCCGCATCGGGCTCTGTGCTGACTGCCAGCTCAGAGCCTGGAGCCTGTTTCAGTCTGTGACTCCCTCTCTCTCTGACCCTCCCCTATTCACGCTGTCTCTCTCTCTCTCCTAGAAATAAATAAAAATATTTTAAAAAATTTTTTTGAAAAACAAAAGTATATTTTTAAGAAATCAGAAGAGAGGCATTGGTTTATATTTTAGCAAATCTCTTTAATGCCTGGCTTAATAAAAGACAGACAGATACTCATACTGACTTCTACATTCAATCTGTTGTGATAAGCTGTTTGGGTTGGCATCTATGAAGAAAATGCAACCTTACCAACATATGTTGTTGGAAACAGGAGGCCTCCTGAGGGGCACATGGGTGGCTCAGTAGGTTGAGAGTCTGACTTCGGCTCAGGTCATGATCTTGTGGTTTGTGGGTTCGAGCCCCACATCATATTCTGTGCTGGCAGCTCAGAGCCTGGAGCCGGTTTCAGATTCAGTGTCTCCCTCTCTCTCTGCCCCTCCCCCGCTCATGCTCTGTCTCTCTCTGTATCAAAAATAAACTATAAAAAAATTTTTTTTAATTTTTTTTTATCTTTTATTTATTTCTAGGAGAGAGAGAGAGAGAGACAGCGTGAGCAGGGGAGGGTCAGAGAGAGAGGGAGTCACAGACTGAAACAGGCTCCAGGCTCTGAGCTGGCAGTCAGCACAGAGCCGGATGCGGGGCTCGAATCCACGAACCCCGAGATCATGACCTAAGCAAAAGTCGGACGCTTAACTGACTAAGCCACCCAGGCGCCCCTAAAAATTTTTTTTAAAAGGAGGCTTCCTGAATGGGTTTCAGGGATTCCCCCAAAATCTCTGTATTGCACTTTAAGAACCGTTGCTCTAAAGATTTCAATACATATCCTTCACTTCTCAGAGTCCAGCTAGAGTGAATATTATTCTACTTCATAAGAACTTTGCAACTGTATAGTTACACTACCACACCCATTTATGTTATAACCATATGTGCGACATATACACACAACAGAAAGGACAGGTGCAAGGGGTGCCTGGGTGGCTCTGTCGGTTAAGCGTCTGACTTCGGCTCAGGTCACGAACTTATGGTTCGTGGGTTCGAGCCCCAACTCGGGCTCTGTACCGACAGCTCAGAGCCTGAAGCCTGCTTCAGATTCTGTGTCTCCCTCTCTCTCTACCCCTCCCTGGCTTGTGCTCTGTCTCCCTCTCAAAAAGAAAGAAACATTTAAAAAAAAAAAGAAAGGAGCAGTAAACGGAATGATACAATTACAAAGTTATTTTGCTTTGTAATTTTTTAAGTAAATTGAGGAAAAAAGATAGCCCTTTATATTTATCCACAGTTACCAAGTCCAGTGTCCCCATTCAATTTCACCTAAAGACTCAAATTTCCATTCGGGAGTACTCCCGTTCAACTTGAAGACTTTCCTTGTCTTGTGGTCCGCTGACAATAAACTCTCTTCATTTGTATCTGAAATCGTATTTTGTCTTCATTCTTCAAAGACATTCATGCTAGATATGGGATTCTTTTTTCCTTCAAGCTCCTCAAAGATCCTTTTCTACTGTTTTCTGGCCCTATCGTTCCTGATGAAAAGTCAGCTTAGGCAAACATTTTTCTCTTGCTAACCCAGTGACTATCCCTTTAACACCAGTTGTAAATGTTACAGGCTAAGAGTCTCTTGTCCTCTCTCAACCTTGGACAAAGGGGCATCAGGGTGGCTCAGTCAGTTGAGCAACTGACTTCCGCTCATGTTGGTTCGCAGGTTCATGAGTTCAAGCCCCACTTCAGGCTCTGTGCTGACAGCTCAGCACAGAGCCCGGTCGGACTCTGTGTCTCCCTTTCTCTCTGCCACTCCCAGGCTCACAGTCTGTCTTTCTCTCTCTCTCAAAAATAAATAAACATTAAAAAAATTAAAAGACTAAAAGCTTGATCAGATTTAGGTTAAATTACTTTTTGGCAGTAATAAATTATAAAAATAAAAAAAAATTTTTAAAAGCTTCCAAAAGAGAAAGAGAGGGAGGAGCCACACAGATATTATCATTATGTTTTTGTTTAAGGTTGTGGTGTTTTTTAAAATATTTATTTATTTTGTTGGGGCGCCTGGGTGGCTTAGTCAGTTAAGCATCTGACTTTCGCTTAGGTCATGATCTCGCGGTTCGTGGGTTCAAGCCCCGCATCGGGCTCTGTGCTGGCTGCCAGCTCAGAGCCTGGAGCCTGTTTCAGTCTGTGACTCCCTCTCTCTCTGACCCTCCCCTATTCACGCTGTCTCTCTCTCTCTCCTAGAAATAAATAAAAATATTTTAAAAAATTTTTTTGAAAAACAA